CAGCAAATAGAAGGTGGACTTGATTAAGAATGAGGTGAAATGGAAGATTGAATTCAAGACAAGGATGATCACTCTCTGTAATAAAAGGATAGTCGTGTAAATAAGTTGTGCAGAAAGTAATACAAAGCTTTACATTTTATCCAAAGAAAAAACATATAGCTAAATAATAAATGTACAAAAAAAAGTATTTGAAAAACATTTTTAATTTAAATTGCATTATGTTAATTATTAGTATTGATTTTATTGTGTTAAAAAAATTTTCCTTAAACTATGTGAACCTAAAAAGTTTCAATCCTAGTAAACAACCCCGACTATGTTGGCTACCCGGACAGATCAACCTAAAGTTGCCGAATGAGGATATGTGTTTCATGATGAGCAAGGAGCTTTCATTCCAACTAAAAAGTAAATGCTATTGGAGAAAGCTACAATTTAGCAATAGAAGTAGGAGTATTTCATGGCCTAGAAGCCTATGTAGAGAGAAGAATCAGTAGTCACGGTCCAAATTGACAGTGAAATAATTGAGTTTTCTTCAAAATTGTAAAGCATACCTTTGGCAATACCATGCTTTACTAAAAGAAATAAAAAGAATGTTAAATATTTTTGGTTTTAATGGTGTGCATATCTATAGATAAATAAATGTCATGGTAGATGAAGTATCACTACAGGCATGTAATGGTGTTTCCATGAGATATGGAGGTCATATAGAACGCCAGCTAACCTAAAGAGAACGTTCTAATCGGATCAAATATCTTTCCCGTATTCACGTATCCATAAATATAGATTTTTACTGTAATCGATAGGGATTTGTATTCATTTTCTTTTTACTTGTTTTAAATTGAAACATATGGAACTGTCATGGGATACTAGATTATCAATGTAAGACAAACTCTTAGTGATTTTCTTAAGTATAGAGCTGACATGGGATTATTTGATAATTATTGTAAGAGAGTGTCTTAGCTAAATGTTTTAAAATCAAACCTGCCATTAGAATTTTAGAAAATCTTTGACAGTATCTGTTTGATTCGATAATGTTTTTTAAGCACTACTTATGTTCAATTTTTTTCTTACATTAATAAAATTGGGAGAAGACTATTAAGTACCATCCTGGGTGACGAGTCCAAACTGAACCCCAGGTCTACTGGGCCTAGGATTAGGTTAGTTGGAGATTAAGCCACCGCATAAACCTATTCCGCTAGTGTTTCAGGAAACAGGTAACACTACCTCTATATAAAGAAGCGGTACCTCTCTCATAATACATATCTTTTACCTATCATCTACACCTTATACACATGCAAAATCACCTTTCTCCCTATTTTCTCTATTCCCTTATTGACTTAAGCATCGGAGAGTCAACCTTTGGGAGACACCCGAGGCTCTATCTTGCAGGTTTTAGGCCATCCGCCGCCGCCTAGATCATCGTCGCCACCCGTCCTGAGCAACGTGCAGATCCATGCTTCATCAAAGTGATATGCCCAGTACGACCGATTTGTTTGGTCCTTATAACCAAATAAAATTCTTGAAAAAAAGCCGAAATTTATTGGTTTTTCATGGTGTCTTAATTTGGACCCAAAAGCAAAGATTAAGAATTAGGAAATTTTTGTATACCTGCCAGCCGTCAACTTCTACGTCAACATCCTTCAATCGATGACAAGATCGACGATTATCTCTCTTAATCTTGAAGCAACGGGCAACCTCTGAGATTGAAGTTTCGAGAGATACATCTTCTTGAAGAGGCAAGCATCTCTCGAGCACCTTATTACTACTCGAAGTGTTCGAGAAGACATATCTCATATTTCTTCTACTTAACTACTATCTTCTTGGAATCGAGGTAACACCTTCTCGAATAAACAATTTATCTCAAAATCAAGGTACTTCTCAAATTATTTTTTATATATTTCTCGAATATAAAGTAATCTACAGCTGACATTCTTTACGAGCATTTTATCACTAATTGTCTTACTATATTGCATCTCGAGCATTCAAACATATAGGGGTCATCCTTCAAATCAGGTATTGAGGACCACCCCGCATCAGAAAGGAACCGAAAGACCTGCTACACGGGCACCGGATTTAAATAAGACCTGCTCAACGGGCACGACCCACAAAGACCTGCTAGACAGGCAATGGACAAATAAGACCTACTAGATGGGCACAGACACAAGACCAGCACCACAGGCATATATGAACTAACCTGGGAACACGATTCTTGAATATATCTATTTCTCTTTATCTTATATAAGTGACACCCGAGAACGAAAAAGTTCGAGAACTGGGGCAACACCACGAAAGTTGAGAAGACATCAATACTCGTAGCAACCCATATCCTTCTCTGCGAACCTCGAGAATATGGCTTGCTAGGGCCACTTGACGAGTCGTTACTGAACCCTAGGCCTATTGGGCCTATGATTAAGTTACTTGGAGATTAAATCACCACATAAACCTATTCCGCTAGTGTTTCAGGAAACATGTAACACCACCTCTATATAAAGAGATGTGTCTCTCTCATAATAAATATCTTTTACCTATCTTCTATACCTCGTATACATGCACAACCACCTCTCTCTATCTATTCTCTCTATTTCCTTATTGACTTAAGCATCGGAGAGTCTACCCCTCAGAAGACACCCGAAGCTCTGTCTTGCAGGTTTTAGGCCGTCCGCTGCCGCCTAGATCATCGTTGCCACCCGTCCTGAGTACCGTTCAGATCCATGCTTCGTCACTGGGTTTGAAAAAAAAAAAAGGAAAAGTCACTGTAATAATTAATTATCAAATAGAACCTTAATATTTCATCGCATAGTTTAATCTACCATTATCTTCACCCACCATCCATGACAACCGTTTGGCAGACTGTGGTGATGGAAATCATTTGACTCTGACGCACTAATGAAAACATCATGATTGAATTCCCTTAACCCAAAAAATAGTTTACAATCCGTACAATAATTTTTTTTTTTTTTGGGACAAGAGTTAGAAAATTTTCCTACATCTACAACACAACCCCCTCTCTCCCCCGCCTGAATGATTTAAAGGAGCAGTCTCAATCTTTATGCAAGCTTTTCTTACCTTCATTAATGTAAGTTTTAAAAAACTTTAAGATGATATAACCTTACTCCTACATGATCGGTGGACCGAATGATACAGAACAGAACTACATACCATGTGTTTTTTTTTTCATTATTTATATATTTCGTGAATATAAGATTTTATACTAATTGCACAACTAGGCAAACACTAACACGGAGTATCTGTACGTTTTGTAAAATGTAACTTGAATATATACTTACCTATAATATGGGTTATTTTTGTGAATAAAATACTTTGCTAAATATAGTTATTAAATACTCCCTCCGTCCCATAATTATTGTCCACTTTGTTCAAAAAATTTTGTCCCAAAATTATTGTCCAATTTGACTTTTTATGAATCAAGTTACACATTTGTCCGTAGTAAAAAACATTATCCATAAAATCTTAGTGGTTAAACAATTACTTATGTAGGGGTATATCCGGTTGTTTAAGGTAAAATATAGTTAAGTTTTACAAAAAAAAAATCTTTCATTTTCGTAAAATTGGACAATAATTATGGGATGGAGGGAGTAATATTTTTCTCCAGTCTCAACTCGGGACCAGTACAAAAAATAAAAAAACTCGATTAGTTTATAAGATAATAATTTTCAAAAATCTACTTTGTAAATGTAGGTCCCCACAATTTCATAAATTAATAAATACCAAGATAATAAATAGATTTGAAGATTAATTTAGATTTTTTACTGAAGTATTTTTGTTTATGTTTGCAATTATCATATTTGTGTTCAATTAAAAAATTTATAATGTTATGGTTAGGGTTGCAACTGATGTTTCTTGATCTAAAGATATTTTCTTTTTTTATTTTCTCACTTATATAATTGAAAAATCTTTAAAGTTAATAAAATATTAATTATCAGTAAATTAATAATTATTAATTTATTGATAAATTAATAACTTTAATAAATTTTTGGAGTCCCAAATGTATTATGGAGGTTTTACTGTAGTTCAAATAAATGCCTTGTTAACAAAAATAAAGGTGGTTGAAATTAAACTATAACAATATGGCTTTTTGCTAAGTAATAAATATAGCAGGAATCTGATGCCGGGAATGAACCTTTTCTGCAAAGTATGTATAAATATTTAATAAATAAATGATTTTATATGAGAATATCTCGTTTGCAACTTGTTAATAAAGCAAAACAATATTCAAAAGCACTATTTACAATTTAAACCTAGAGAATCAGAAAAGCTAGTTCGAGCTCGTGTAAGGCTTAACCACATAAAAAGTGTTTTTAACTTTAACTTTAGCTAGACATTCTTTATAAACTCCAAATATCAAATATAGTATTTGTTTATCTATCATATGTAAGCAAGTGTTTTATATGTCGATTTGGCAAGCAAATTATTGAACATATAGAGTTTCCAAATTCACTAAATTGAGTGTTGCCCAATAATAACAATTAACAACGCACCAAAAGGGAGAAACAATTGATTTTTAACTCCATCTGTCTAAAAATATTCTCTAGTTTAAGTTTTCACTTTTTTTAGTATAAATTGAAATAAAAGTTAAATTTGAAATTGGACAACCAATTATTTAGAGATGGAAGGAATACTTCCTTTAACCCAAAAAGTAGTCCATATTAAATTTGAGATTTATACTATTCTTTTTAGTATAAATTTTAAAATTCAATGTTAAACAATAAAAAGTTAAAATTTAGTGCGTCCAAAAAAATATTCTATATTAAGTTTTGAATTTGTACTATTTTAGTATAAATCTCAAAACTCAATCTAAGTTACATTCCGAAACAGATGGAGAATGTTTTTGAGGACATAGAAATATTCGTAGTTGTAATCCTAAATTGTTCCTCTTAAAAAATCAATATCCATATCAACATCAATATCAGCATACCGTTCGTATATATTTCAAACCAAGTTGCGGTCTAGAGATGAGGAGCATATAGCTTACTCTTGTGATTACACCTCCCAAAAGAAAAACAAGAAAAGAAATAAATTTAATATCCACTTGAAACCAATATTTAATTTCAAGCTGGTTAGTCCTTAGCTTTTCCCGTAATTCCTTTTGTTATGCAGCATCATGAGCTTATATATTAAGTACAGTGATCACTGAATAGTAGAAAGCGATAACTCAAATAAAATCCCTCCAAGAGTTAGCTGCTTGGTACACTTACAGCTTGCTTATAACACCATGGAAGACTTTTCCAATAATAAGAGTATCGAAGATTCTGGGGACTTTGGTCCGATTCCGACAGCTAAGAAAGGCGGTTGGATCACCTTGCCATTCATTTTAGGTAACTGCCTCTTGTTGTTGTTGGTTTTTTTTTCCCTTGCCTTTTATTCTTAAAACTGAAAATTAATGTAAACAGCAACCGTGGCTGGGTTATCAATGGCGTATGGAGGCCTGGTTTCAAATCTTGAAGTGTATCTGATTCAAGAATTCAATATTGAGAGAATCAGTGCCGCTAAAATTTACAATGCAACCAACGCCATTATTTCTATTTTACCGGTTGCAGCTGCCATTTTAGCTGACTCATTTTTGGGATGTTATTCTGTCATCTGGATTTCTTCCCTCATTACATCACTGGTCAGTCTTACGAATCTGCACCCCACTTAATCCTTTTTTTTTTCCTTTCTCAATTAAGTGTCGTATTTTCGTTGAGACATATTATCTCAAAATAATTGTCCAATTTAGATTTTCACTTTTACTACAATTTTAACCAAAAGTAAAACTCAAACTGGCGGCAGTCTTAATATTTGCACGATATCCTCAAAAGTTATTGTTACGAATACATCTGATCCTTGCATCAATTAGTGTCCGTGACTTTAATTCCGGCTTTAGGAATTAAAATAAACCTATGGCTTTAGCTTATTAGATGAAGGCACCTTTTAATAATAATTAATTGTAATACTGAAAAAAAAAATTGTGTTTAATTATTATGCAGGGTTTGTTGCTGTTAATTTTAACAGCAGCCTTAAGTAAACTAAGACCTCCTCCATGTGAAAGTGGATCATCAGACCCCTGCAAAACCCCAACATTAATCCAACATACGGCTCTTTATCTTGGCTTAGGACTAGTATCTGTTGGACTGGCTGGAACACGATTCACCGTAGGATCAATTGGCGCGTACCAATTTGATAAATCAAAGCAACAAGGAGTTTTCTTCAACTGGTTCACATTTGTCATTTACATTTCTTATGTCATGAGCTCCACAGCTATTGTTTATGTTGAAAGTTATGTGAGTTGGGCGTGGGGATTTGGGATTTGTTTTGCGACAAATACACTTGCATTAATGCTTTTTCTGGCCGGAACTAGTTTCTATCGACAGATGAAACCTCACGGTAGCCCTTTCGCGAGCTTGGCTCGTGTTGTTGTTGCAGCTGTCAGAAAAAGTGGTGTCACACATTCACATAACCCGGATGATTACTGCCAAGGTCATGACTATGGGACTCCTGCTTTGCCTACGAAATTCTTATGGTAAAATCTGCTTGTACCGTTATTTGTAGTAACTAATTAATGATGTAGTCAGCATCTGCTAGTGACATAAGGCTAAGTTTTGGTTTACATGTTTAAAAACCATGTTTATCTAATCACTATGATTACCTAATTAATTATATGAGACCTCAAAACCAAAAAAAAAAAAATCACTATGTATTAATTTATCACAAGATGTATCATTCTCATCATTGATATATGAGACCTCAAAACATGGGCAGTAACCTAATTGGTTGGAAACAGGTGTTTAAATGGTGCAGCATTTAGAACTGAATGGGATATTGGACAACAGGGGAAGATGACAAAATCATGGAAACTTTGTACAGTGACAGAAGTAGAAGACTTCAAATGCCTAATCAAACTGGTTCCACTATGGATAAGTTCATTGATTGTCTCCACTCCACTAGTCATCCAACTTAGTATGGTAAATCTCCAGGCTTTATCGATGGACCGTCACCTTGGACAGAAACTCGAGATTCCGGCTGGAACAATGCCGATCTTCATTTTCATGTCGACTTGCATCACCATCTTCTTTGTTGATAGACTTTTACTCAAAATGTGGAATAAGATTACCTGCAAGCCCATCTCTCCCCTCCAACGTGTAGGAATAGGTCACGTGCTCAATGTCGTAAGCATGGCGGTTTTAGCGCTAGTGGAGGCGAAGAGGCTGAAGATGGCTCGATTGCATAATTTACAGGGCCAAGACATTAATGCTGTGGTGCCAATGTCAATTTTCTGGTTGGTGCCATCACTAGCTCTTGCCGGAATTGGAGAAGGATTTCATTTTCCGGGACAAATTTCATTCTACTACAAAGAGTTTCCTAAACACTTGAAAAGCACTTCGACTGCGGTTTTTTCTTTATGTATTGGCATTGGATTTTACATGGGAAATGGCTTGATTGACATTGTTAGGGGTTCAACGGATTGGTTGCCTGAAAACTTAAATAATGGGAGATTGGACAATGTGTACTGGCTCGTCACTGCACTAGGTGGCATCAACTTTTGTTATTTTCTGTTATGTACTTCTTTGTACAAGTAAAAAATTAATAATGAAAATGTAGTAGTGGAGGATATCTCTGGAAATTAGAACTTGACAAGATGCGGTGAATAGTCGTTACGTCATCTTAAAAGCTTAACTTGAGGTTCTATTGGCTTTTGTTATTTTCAGGAGCCCGTACCTCAAAACCAATTGTTCATGTACAAGTCAAACATTTTTTTCATCTTTTCCAAGTCTTATTATGGTTTTCTTGATATTAGTCTTATGATGACGATAAATAAACTAACTTGTGATTATGTCTTATGATTTACATAAGTGTTTCACTAAGAACAACACGTTATAAAAGCCAAACCAAAAAATCAAAATCAGTAGCACAGTTAGAAATTTCAAATAGGAGGGAAAAATGATAGTCTCCCTCTCTTTGTCTAAAAATGATTGTCCAGTCTGAATTTTTGCTTTTAGTACAATTTATTCTAAAATTGAAAAAAAAACAGACTGAAAACTAATTTTGGGATGGATGGAAAAATTTTTCTCTCCTTATAGGGGCGAACATAAAAAATTAAAAAATTTTAATCCAAAAAAGTTTAACCCTTCCTTAATAACAAAATTGGGAGAGTGGGAATTGAATGATAGCCTACTAGTTAGGTTGTTGTCCAGCCTGAAAATAGATCAGGGTTCGATTCCCACCAGGAATGATTTTACCCACATTTAAGTGAGATCCACTGGGTAGATTTTTTTTTTTTAAAAAAAAACAAAACTGGAAGAGCTATGGGTCCTGTAGTGCTGGCTAAAGGAACTAGGAAAACTGATATTTGACTAAAGGAACTAGGAAAATGAATAGTTGTGAAGGACTATTAATTCAACTAGAAGCTGTAGAGCTGTTAAGAGGAACATCCAAAAGGCCGTTAACAGGAAGATGCCTTTTGTCAAAAGCTGGCAGAAAATATTAAACATTATAAACACTGCTAAGAAAAGAATAATAGTACTAGGAGAGATAAGCCAAGTTGCTATTAATATTGTAAATGTCACATGTATGGACATTGAGACACCACACTGCTTGCAATAACTACAAGGAACTATTTTTTTGGAATGGAGGTAATATAAATAAGAAGAAGATAGAGCAATGTTTTCAGACTCGGCTTGGACACTAACTCGGAGAGGGTAGGGTTCAGGGGTTTTAGGAGTCGATTCGGGTCGACTGGGGGGGTCGACTCGGATGATGTCATTACGACGTAATAAATAATATATAATTTAAAAATATATTAATAATTAGAAAAACTTAATATTTATGAATCTTTTTTATGGTAATAGTCAACAATAGTTCTTTAGAGCATGTAATTACAGTTTAAGATAAGTATATTAATTATTTATGATTAAAATTTATAAAGTTATACAAGGAAATCAACTTTTATTATTAATAAAATGTATATATGTAATTTAATTTCATCATATTCAAGGTATAGTTAAATTTTGTGTAAAGTAATAGGATTTCATATATGAGGAAAATATTTATAAAGAATTTAATTTGAATATGGTTGTTTTATAAGTTGAACTAGAAAATTTGGGACTAAAATGACAAATTAATTCATGAATAAAAGTTGTTGGGCCATTTAAAAATAAAATGCAAATATTTGAACCAAGAAAGAGGGAGAAAAACACAAAAAACGAGGGGAGAAAAGGTAAAAATTTGGCCCAAAAATGCAAAAAACATAAGTTCCGAGTCAACCCGGTCTGCCCGGTTTCCGATTCACTCGGGGTTTTGACCGATTTCGACCGAGTCACAAAAAAGAGACTTTTCAAGTCACTCGGTCCAGTTCCCAATTTAACCGGTTGAACCGGCCGGTCCGATCCGAGTTTAACAACAATGAGATAGAGAGTAGCTTGGCTATCTATGAAAAAAGATGTAAGCTTAGCAAAACTGTTCATCTTCACCCATACTTTTAAAAGTGAACATGTATATATTCTGCGAAAATAATTTCATCGTTCACATCCATAAGATGAGGGACTTCACTGTAGAAGTTCTAAAGAAATAAAACGGGCGGAATCCAATCATGTCGACATGACTTGTGCTCTCCTTATTTATCATTGGTCACGACACTTAGGCGCCGCGCTTTATGTATGTATGAAGACATGCAGTGATGAAAGTGGTTTTCAATTAATTAAGAATAGTCCTTAGAATTCATAAACTGAAAAGTTTCTCCAAAAAGAATACAAACAAGATAGCACATAACTCAAACTGCAACAGTTGTTTTTTTCAAATCCTCCTGAAAAGAATTTGAGCACCATAAAGTGGAGTAATAGTAAGGAAAGTTGCGGGAGCATGAACATATGCCGGCGAGGGCTGGAAGGCGAATTTCTTGAGAATCATAGCTAGGATGATTTTGCCTTCCATGATAGAAAAATTTGGAGCAATGCACATTCTTGACCCTATGACAAATGGAATGAACGAGGCCAAATGTTTTCGGGGCTCTGAAAATCTTTGTGGATTGAACTCATTCGCGTCTGGACCCCATATTTCAGGATCATGATGAGCAGCAGCAATAGGCAAATAAAACTGCGTGCCTGCTGGAACATCAAGGTTTCCTACCTTCATATTTTCGGATGCCTGCCTCACCACAACAGCAATTGGAGGGTAGAGCCGAAGTGTTTCATTGAGTATCATAGTCACCTGTTTATAAAATGAGAGTACTTAATTAGTCAAGAGATGTCAAACTATATATGTAATTTAAACTCGCGTCGAAAAACTAATTGCCAATAGTGTAGATCAATGATTTTTAACGCATGCGATATGGGATAAATAACTCTCTTAACAGCAAACATCAATCAGAATAAAAATTTCCAAATATTCTCCTACTGCTTGTCATAATTATAACTTATAAGGTGAAAGTTTGAATTAACTTTAGTGCTAATACGTCAGTTATATTAGGACCAAAGGAGTGTAAGGTTGGTGCTTAGCAGTTGATTAGGCTAGCTAGTGCACTTACAACTTTCATGTCATTCAAAGCATCGCCATTCGGAAACTCGTCGTTCTTGCAGACTTGAAACACTTCTTCTCGAGCCTTAGTTTGCCACTCTGGGTGCAATGCTAAAAGTAAAAGTGTCCAAGACAAGAATATCGCGACGATTTCTTTTCCTGCAAAGTAGAAAGTTTGGCATTCGTCAATCACTTCTTCAGTTGACAATTCGCCGTTGATTAAGAAGCTCAGAAGGCAGTTTGAATTCCCTCCAACTTTTCTCTGCCTCTCAATCAAATCCCTTATCAGCCGTCGGGTTTGGTTACTGAGATTGCGCCTCAATCGGTTGTTCCGAGTCGGCAAGAACCTATATTTTGTGACAAGAATTTTTATTTAGGCAGGGAATCCAGTCATTGGTATTATTACGAAATTTAGTGGTCAAACCTAAGAAGAGGTTGATTAAGAATCACCTGAAACCTGGTATGTAAACACTCCTTAAAGCCAGCATTGTCAACTGAGCTTGTCGATCAATCAATTCATGAATGCGCCTTCCTTCCTCAAAGTTACTACCAAATCCTGTTCTCGACAATATTTCTGTGGATAGAATGTGGAATTCCTTGAGCACATCCACTTCTATTTCACCCACTCCTCCTAGGTCATTTTCCCACCTTTCAACAACCTTTTTAGTACTATCTACAACTTCGGGAATCCATGACTGCCAGAAGTTTCGAAATGGAAAGATTTAATGAGTGAAATGTACAATATTTGAAATCCACATATGTTATTCTTTTTATTAACTTATACATTTCTTCATCGTCCATCAATGGGGAGAGATTGATGATATCACTCTATAAATTACACGAGTGACCTCATCTATTTCCATTTAGTATTGAGATGGAACAATCCCGTGTGTTTTTGTAATTAGTATTGTCTTGCATTTCATATTCGGTTCACAAAACTATGACGACCATAATATATTAATTTTATTTTCTTTTAAAAATAATGTTCCATCAAATCCCGAGGTCGGACTCCAGGGGATGTCACATGCATAAACTGCATACTGAGATAAATTGCCGAGGGTGGATCTTGGATCGACCGTATATACCAAAGAAGATGGACCTTTAAGAGATCCACTTAAATATTTATCACCATACACAACAGTGAACATCAACAGTAAAATGAGATGGTAATTTATAAATGATAAAATCACTATCTTTCAAAGATCATAACTACTAACATAACATTTGATAATTAATTACTATAGTAACAACTATCACATTTCACTATTATTTTTATGGTATATATCATTTTCCTTTTATTACTGGATTATAAATGTTGTCCTCAAATTATTTCAACCTTCACCTTCACGAAATATACCCAAGAAAAACCACTAATTTATACTACTACTTGTTAAATTAATTAAGTCTTGGGGCATAACTTATGTATAAAAAAGAAAAATAATTTTTTTAAAAAAAATTAAAATGAAAAACAAACCTTTACTCGGTCGACGAAGAAAGCCGGATTGGCAGCTTTCCGATGAACGGACCATTTCTCACCCTCCAACCCAACAAGTCCCTTACCGAAGAGCTGGTTAGCAAGCGGCGGAAGGCTGACTTTGATAACCTTACCCGATTTGTTAAGGAAAACCTCTTTCAGCATTTCCGGCTCAGCTATGGTTAGCCTCGGAATTGACCCATGCCAAAACAACATAGTTTTACCGTACATGGCACTCCACTTGTGGAAGCATGGATCTACACGATGAATGATATCATGGCTGATTAATCCCATGGGTTTTTCGTAAGTCCGGTCGAGTTCATTCTTGAACTCGCAAGTATTTCCGTATATCGGACGGTATCGGGGGCCTTTGATTCCTTGTCTGTTGAGATGACGTTGGATTTTGAATGGGATCCATAGGGTGAAATATATGAACCTGACGAGTAGGAAGTATAGAAGAACTAATACACCTAGAAGAATGATGATTTGGTGCATGGTGTTTTTTTCCTGGTGTAAGGCAAAGAAAAGAGTCAAAATGTTATATATGCGTTATATTCTGGATTTGGCAACTTTTGTGGGCTGTAGAGAATTGTATATTTCTATGAGAAGAATAAGACTGTTATTTTGGGACCAAATCTAACAGACACACTTAATCTCGTAACTGGTTTACTTTTAACTCATGAATCAGCTCCCATATATATGACCGTCGCATGTTAGTATCATTTACGCAAGAGATAGTTTTTAATGTACATAACGACTATCACGTATTTGGAACCGGTGATGTGCTTGATGGCATGTGATCTTCTCCACATATTCATTTTAACGAAAGAAAAAAGCATTGTATTTTGTTATGGGTAGATGAACTTATTGCGAACTAGCTAGATGTGGGATAAACCTGTGGTTATAACAATGAGAGATGAATTATACTATTCCTTTCGTCTGAAAAAAATAATTCAAATATTTTAAATTCATATTATTGAGAATTTTGAAATTCAATGTGAACTATTCAAAGTAAATTTCAAAACTCTCTGAACTAGTTTTCGGGACAGAACTATGCAGTAATAAATCTTGACTAACAATTCCAGGCCCAGCGATGGTGAAGAGATCCAGGTTTGATACATACATCGACGAGAAGAAACAAATTTGCTGTCAGTTACACTTTTGTATAAGCAGCAGGTCACTTGCTCTTTACATAGAAGATAAAACTAGTATCACCTAAACAATACAAGTATTCCATCAATTTAATTTTCTTTAAAAAAAAAAAAACACAAGTACACAAAGGTCGAGACAAACTCTCTGTCGTCAGGAATCCCTGCAGTTCACTTGTTTTCCAAGATTGGATCTGGTTCCATAAGATTCCTTTTGATTAGGCTTTTTCTTTCTTGGGTGTGCGCCGAATGAAATTAATTTTCTCTGTTATAAAACAACAATACTCCAATAATTTCATACATGTACTGGTGTCAAACTTGTCTGAATATTTCTATTTTTTTAACCATATTTCTAAAATTTATGTATAAAAAAATCCAAATTTCAATTGGATCAGCCACTAAAGGTCACAAATGTTATGGCTGTTCATGATTATTAATATGTCATCTTTAAGGGTTATACATTTGACTAACCTCCATCAAACAAACTATTTTAATTGTTCAGCCGATCCGGAGTATCAAAGGTCACATGAAGAAATGTTGGATACTCATCCCATTCCGAAACGATTAATTGTTTATAATTATTAATTCACATTAAAAAAAGTGGGCTGCTATTTTATCCCCTAAATCCTACGTAGCGCCCCCTTTGGACTAATTTACCCCGTTATAAATCCTTTTGTCCTAAATCCTTTTGATTAGTAATCTCCATAACTAGCAAAGATATGCAACACATACACTATCTCAAAATCCTTATGCCAAAGCACAACTCATCCAACAAAAGTAGGACAAATCTCACAATGGAACTCATAAACACACTCATCATGAATTCGAACATCAAGCCAAAAGAAAGGCTCATCAATCGAACTACTAGAAGTAGTATGAAAATAAGAAGTTTTGTTTTAAAACAATTCTATCAAGAAGCATACTTGAAAAAGAACGGTTTTTGCAAGATCAAAAGATCCAAGACAAGATGAAAACCCTCTTAGTTAGATCATACTTAACACGAGAAATGGACACTTCATTTAATAAAAATTCCTCGCAGAAAAAACTCTCAAAAGAGACAACAAAAATGACCACTCAAGAGTACTTTTGAATTTCGGCCATGCCTCCTATTTATAGGCTAAGAAATTCGGCCACCACCAAGAAAACAAGATCAATTAGGATCTCTAATCTTATCTCACAAGGAGTAGAAGTAGAAGAGTATTTGATCTCTTTGACTCTATCTAAAATCTAGGAAACCTTATCTAAATGACTTATCCTCAAATAGGATAATATCTAGAAGGAATCTAACACTCATAATCAAAACACTCTAGCTTTATTCAGCCCACATGACTTATCTAACTAGATAAAATTTTGAAAATACCTCCTAGACTTAGAAAACCTCTAAATCTTGAAAATCAGCTCCAAATTATTGAAGTAAAATGACTTGAACGCCCTTTCAAAAGTGGAATATTGGTCTTGCGCCCCTTAAGTTGTAGAAAACTCTAATTTACTCCAAAACTTGTAGAATTCTCTTTATTGACTCCAAAAGATTGGAAAAACACTTGAAACAAGTTAGATAGTTTGCAAAACATATCCAATTGTGTAGCAATGGACTCAATCTTGAATACTTTGATCAAATAGGTCGTCCATTCAAGAACCTAAATGACTCTTCTCACTAGCTTGATCAATGATCTTCATGGAGCACATAGAGTCAAACTCTCTTGATACTCTTGAGCACTTATTTCCATGAGATCATCATCTCCTTGGTTTGAACCCCAAAGTTAATGACATTCTCATTATCTTGATCATAGATCTCTTGAACCAACTCCCTATCACATAGGTAGTCAAGATCCATCATTTCTTCCTTGATTGGCCTGCAAAGTAAACTTGGCATTCCAAAACTAGAATGAAGGACTAGCTCATTTCCCTCACTAGGAGAATCACCATGGAAAGCTACATGATTCGCATCATATACTTATGTATAAATGTATATACATGAAAAATAAAAATCTCATAGCCAAACTGGATTACAAAGTGAAATAAACCGAAGATAATAAACCAAAGAATATATTCAATTAGAAATTGTATTTTTTTCTAACTATACAACTCTCTTCCGGAACAAAATATTTTTTAATTATTAAAGTAATATATATTATATTATATCACCGCACAACGTGCGTGGTTAATACTAGTTTCAGATAAAAAAATCATGAATATTCATATTCCCCAATTTAAACCTCCATTGCTGTAGCCTTCGATTAATGAATTATGTTTTTTTTTTGGCTTAGAATTTGAGAGAATTCGAAGAAATGGAACAAAATGATTTGTGGGTTTCAAATTATAACAGGGGTATCCCTAAGATTTAGGGGGCAACAAATAGCATAACCCTAAAAAAATTGTTAACCATTCTTGAAACACATTTAATCACATCCACATTTATGATCATGATCAATATGGATGATGTAGCAGTTACTTGGATTATGCTGCTAGTATGCATATTCGTTGTCTCTCTCTCTCTTTTCAATAGAGCTTTCGTTTGATGTCATGGTTTGTGCATGTTCATGATACTATATACAGTTCCCTTTAATAAATGGGGAATAAATCATAGCCCAAGCTCGGCAAGGTCAAGCATTCAAATCCTAGTATAGCGGTAACTGCTGAGGACAATTGTCATGATGGATGATGAAAAACAGAAAAGCATTTGATGAAAAAAAAAAAAGCATTTGATAAACATTGTTAGTTATTGATGCCCAAATCAAAATAAAAGTTTGGACCCGGCTGCTAAAATATTATTTCCTCTGATCTAGAATTATTGTGTAGTATAAAATTTCAATTTTAGTATGAAACTAAAAATGAAAATCTAGTTGTTAAAAGTGGCGCTTCCTAAGATTTAGGGGAAAACAAATAGCATAACCCTAAAAAAATTGTTAAACATTCTTGAAACACATTTAATCACATCCACATTTATGATCATGATCAATATGGATGATGTAGCAGTTACTTGGTTATGCTGCTAGTATGCATATTTGTTGTCTCTCTATCTTTTCAATAGAGCTTTCGTTTGATCATGGTTTGTGCATGTTCATGATACTATATAGAGTTCCGTTTAATAATTGGGGAATAAATCATAGCCCAAGCTCGGGAAGGTCAAGCATTTAAATTCTAGTATAGCGGTAATTGCTGAGGACAATTGTCATGATGGATGATAAAAAACAGAGAAGCATTTGATAACAGAAAAAGCATTTGATAAACATTGTTAGTTATTGATGCTTAAATCAAAATAAAAGTTTGGACCCGGCTGCTAAAATATTATTCCTCTGATCCAGAATTATTGTGCAGTTTGAAATTTCAATTTTAACACAATTGAAATTAAAAATAAAAATCTAAATTGAACATTAATTTTTGGACGGAGGAAATATAAAGCATTATTACAAAAATGAAAGAAAATGTTTGCACATTAAATAATGATGATGCTTTCTGGGTTCAATGTAATATCATTTTGAAGTCGACAATCAGCTAATCACTGTAACTTCAATAAACATGTTCTCCAATTTTGGATTTTAGTGGGTGAGATAAGCTGTATTTCTATCTGAATAATACAAAATATCATCAGCAGATTGGATTTATGCAAAGACAAACCCTGACGAATCTTTCTTTTAAATTAACAATAATCCTTAACCATAACCAAAGTAATTGTGGTGGAGTGATAAAGACTTCTCCACCCTTTATTATAGATCGAGAGTTCGAATCTCATCATGAACATAAAAGAACCTTAAATCCTTTGGTTAGCTCTCTCATCTATCGAGGTGACTACCATGAGTGAGAGAGATTAATCACTGTTATCGACGGTGGACACTCTACAATATAAAAAAAATAAAAAACAATAATCCTTCTCCCTTCATACTATTGCCAATTATATTATTTCTAGTACAATTCGCAAACTTTAGTACTGAGGGAGTAGAATATTTTGCTGCTCTTCCCAGCTCAAGGTTTGCTTCACAATTTTTCCGCAGAGATCATAATCATTGTTCACTCGTTGTCTTACTTATGAATTGGAATTTCGTATGTTTATATACAATGAATTTTTACAGTATGCAGAAAAGTTGGCTTTCATAAATTATTTAGTAATAATTATAATCCTTTGGTGGTATTTCCAGTGACGCCTATATTTAGGATTAGATAGCTAGCACGGAATTGTAATTGCTTTGCCCAAGGAAACCACGAAATAGGTCTCAAAATCATCCAAATCTAAACGTAAATAAAAATCCAGAGCCATGTTGCTACAAATTCTAATTATTTCTTTATCTCTTTTTCAGCCTTCTGTATCAGCTGATTATCATTCTAGTTCTATTCCTGAAAATTTCATCCGCTGCCTTTCACATGAATTCAGATCAAACGCTTCCATCCTAAATCCCCTGTTGCATTTTCCAGGCATTAATTCATCATACGAATCAATTTGGTCATCTGGGATTGAAAATCTCAGGTTCCTGGAAATTTCTAGCAGTAACAGAAAGAAGAAGAAGCCCCTGGCCATAATCACACCTGAAAGCTATTCCCAAGTGCAAACCACTGTCAAATGTTGCAGGAACAGTGGACTTCGGATCATTATCCGAAGCGGCGGGCACGATTTGAAGGATCGTCACACGCTTCTTCGTCGTCCAAGTTTTCGCCTCCGTCTGTAATGGTGGATCTGAGGAAGCATCTCAGGTCCATTAAAGTTGACCTGGAAGACAACAGCGCGTGGGTGGAATCCGGTGCGAGTCTCGGGGAATTGTATTACGCCATTGCCCTGAAAAGCCCTGTTCATGGCTTTCCAGGGGGGCTTTTTGCTACGGTCGGCATTGGGGGACATTTCAGCGGTGGCGGAGTTGGAAATCTCATCAGAAAATACGGCCTTGCTGCTGATAACGTCCTCGATGCGATGATCGTGGATGCCAATGGCCGGATTCTGGATAAGAATTCAATGGGGGATGATCATTTCTGGGCTATCAAAGGGGGCGGAGGAGCAAGTTTTGGAGTCATCCTGGCATGGAAAATCAGTCTCGTGAAAGTTTCACCAATTGTCACTGTTTTTGAAGTTTCCAGGAGCTTGGAACACGGAGCCATTGATTTAATCCACAAATGGCAAGAAGTTGCACACAAAGCCCACGAAGATTTGCTCCTCAGTGTAGTACTATCATCAGCAGGAGGGTCAACTGTTGCTCAAACAACAGCAACATTTAGGTCACTTTTCCTTGGAAGATCTGATGATCTTGTCAAGATGATGGAAGAAATCTTCCCCGAAATCGGGTTGAGGAAACAAGATTGTGAGGAGATGAGTTGGATTGATTCAGTTATGCGCTTTTCATTGTATCCAAAAGGGGTAACCTCAGATGCCTTGAAGAATAGAGTTGCCCCTTTTCCTCCTCCTTATTTCAAGGGCAAGGTAGATTTGGTATACAAACCTATACCTTACGAAACATTGGATGAATTGTGGAAAAGATGTTCATCAAAAGATTATGATCGTATTAATAATACAACTACCACCACCCCCCCTATCATACAAATTGAATTACATCCTTATGGAGGAAAGATGAATGAGATTTCGAAATCGGAAACTCCATTTCCGCACAGGAAAGGTGTTCTGTATGAGATATTGTACATCGTGGCGTGGTTGGATCAAGATGAAAATAATGCTAATGCTGAATCCTACATGAATTGGCTGAGAGGATTGTATGATTTCATGACTCCTTTTGTGTCAAAAGGGCCAAGAGGTGCTATTGTGAATGCTAGGGATTTCGATTTAGGCACTAATGATGGTGATGGACATATTGCTTCTGGTAGCTGGACTACTACTTCTCCTTACTCAAAAGCTTATAGGACATGGGGATCTAGGTATTTTGGAGATAATTTCAGGAGGCTGGCAACAGTTAAACGTGAAGTTGATCCTGAAAATTTCTTCTTTTCAGAGCAAAGTATCCCGCCTCTTTTTCTTCATCCACAAATGAGAGAAATGTAGCTTTGAATTTTATCAGGGAAAATGTTTGGAGTTTTGTTTTTTGTTTTTTTCCTTTCTTTCTTTTTTTTTTTTGGTCCATTGTTTGTATATTTTTCTTCTTCCCTTTATGCTAGACTAAAATCTAAAAATGATCCTTTACAATAGATCAAATGAATATTTTGGTCTTCAACATTAATATTTCAATAAAATGGTCCTCTATATTTCAAAACGTTATTTTTTTTCTTTAACACTATTCATGCAATTTTTACCAGATTTAGGATCAAGTCAACGGGGTAATTTTTGAAATAAATTTTCTTTTGCATTTTAAAAAAATTACATTAAATAAAATATGTATATAAATTTGAAAATAATTATAACAACAACAAAAAGCCTTTTTCCCTCTAAGTGGGCTCGGCTATATGGGTCATATGTCGCCATCATGCACGGTCGGTGCATAACTCATCGCACAAATTTAAATATTTCAAATCGTTTTTTATAGGTTCTTTCCATGTTTTCTTAGGTCTACCCCTGCCCCTTTTAATTTGAATTCTTGATTCTATAGTTTCTATCCTTCTCACCGGAGCCTCTACCGGTATCCTACGCACATGCCCAAACCATCTTAAACGGTTTCCTCTCATTTTTTCGTCTATTGGAGCTACCCTACTTTCTCTCTAATGCTATCATTTCTAGTCCTATCTAATCTAGTATACCCACACATTCATCTTAACATTCACATCTCCACTACCCTCATTTTCTGCTCATTTTCATATTTAGTGTCTCAACGCTCGGATCAATAAAGCATCGCCGGTCGAATGGCCGTTTTATAGAACTTACCTTTCAAACTCAATGGTACTTTACGATCACAAAGTATTGATGAGGCACTACGCCATTTATTCCACCCGGTTTGGATTCTATGTGTTACATCTTTATCAATATTTTCATTTTCTTCTATAATGGATCCTAAATATTTAAAACTTTTAGATGTGTTCACTTTATGTTCTCCAATCTTAACATTTACCATGTTATTACTCTTATGGTTACTAAAATGACATTCCATATATTCTGTTTTAGCCCTACTTATTGTAAAATCTTTAGATTCTAACGCCTCTCTCCAATCCTATAACTTGGCATTAACCCCTTTTGTTTCATCTATTAGAACTATGTCATCCGCGAATAACATGCATTCAGGGATGGCTACTTGCAAGTGTTTAGTGATTTCATCAATTACCAAAGCAAAAAGGTATGGGCTCAATGCCGACCCTTGATGCAAGCCAACCGTGATGGGAAACTCACCCGAAATCCCTACGGGAGTCCTCACACAAATTGTTGCGTTATCATACATGTCTTTTATTATTTCTCTATATCCTACTCTTACTCCCCTCTTTTCCAACACCCGCCACATTATATCGCTATTAACTCTATCATATACCTTTTCAAGGTCAATGAAAACTGTGTGTAAATCTAATTTTCTATCATTAAAATGCTCACATAATCTTCTGAATAAATGTATAGCTTCCATTGTTGATCTTCCGGGCATCAAGCCAAATTGATTTTCCATTATGTTTGTCTCTTGCCTTAGCCTAGTTTTTATTACCCTTTCCCACAATTTCATTGTGTGACACATTAGTTTTATACCCCTATAGTTAGCACAATTTTGTATATCTCCTTTATTATTAAACAAGGGTATTAGTTTACTCTTCCTCCATTGGTTAGGCATTTTCTTACTCTTCATGATTATCTTGAATAACTCCGTACGCCACTTAATCCCAAATTCGCAAAGGCATCTCCATGTCTCTATTGGGATATCATCGGGACCTACGGATTTACCCTTTTTCATTTTGTGCAAAGCTTTCTCAACCTCTTTAATTTGGATTTTCCTATAATATGTGAAATTTTTATGTGTCTCACTTAGCTCTAGTTCACCTTGTGTTGTTTCCCTATTATCTACTTCATTAAATAATTTATAGAAATAATCTTTCCACCTATCCTTGATGATCTTATCATCAACTAAGACATGCCCATGTTCATCTTTTATGCATTTAATCTCGGTTAAATCTTTTATTTTTTTTTCCTTATTTTTGCAATTTTATAAATTTCTTTTTCTCCCTCCTTAGTATCTAGTTTTTGGCAAAAGTTTTCAAAAGCTTTTGTCTTTGCCTCACTTACTACTTTTTTCACTTTTTTTTAGCATTTTTATATTTTTCAACATTCTCATCATTCCTACAAGTATACAATGCTTTATACTATTTTTTTCTATTTTACTTTTTTTTGAATATCTTGATTCCACCACTATAATTCTTTATTGCATTTATTCCCTTTTGAGATTCCTAGTTCTTTTTTAGCGATTGCTCTTACTTTTTAGTTACCTTTTCCCAAGGTTTATTGGATTCTTTTTCCATGTTCCAATTAACTTTTTCAATTAACGTTTTAATAAACCTATATTTTTTATCTTTGTTATTAAGATTCCACCATTTTATCCTAGGTATTTTAGGTATTTTTCTCTTACATATATTGGTTTTAATTCTTGGATCTATGACCAACAACCTATGTTGAGTTGTTAGACACTCTCCCGGTACCACCTTACAATCTTTACAAAGTTTTTTATCACTCTTTTTAGTTAAAAGGTAAATAATTTGTGATTTGCTAAAGCCACTTTTATATGTAATCAAGTGTTCATCCCTTTTTTGAAATAAGGTGTTACATATGACAAAGTCATATGCCACCGAAAGGTCCAATATAGTTTTACCTTCATTATTTTGTATCCCAAAACCATAACCCCCATGAGCCCTCTCATATTCTTCATTTTTCTTTCCTACATGTCCATTTAAATCCTCACCTTTAAAGATTTTTTCATTTTGAGGGATTGATTGGATCAATGACTCCAAATCTTCCCAAAATTTTGTTTTAGTAGCTTTGTCTAATCCCATTTGAGGCGTATACGCACTAATTATATTTATGGCCTCATGTCCTATCATAATTTTAAGGTTATTAATCTATCCCCCTTCCTAACCACCCCTACTACTTGGTCTATGAATAATGAATGCACTATAACACCTACCCCATTCCTATTCCTATCTTTCCCACTATACCAAAGTTTGTACCCCGTGTTATCTAAAACTTTGGCCTTTTCACCTACCCATTTGGTTTCTTGCAAACACATTATATTGACCTTTCTTCTTCTCATACATTCTACTAGCTCTAGAGACTTATTAAGGACCCTATGTTCCAACTCCCTAACCTACAAGTCTTATCATTTCTAGGATTATTCTTAGGTTGTTTTCTACATTGGGCATTTTTCCTAGCTCCCACTACTCCCACACCCTTATGAGAGTGTAGTGGTCCTTGCCAAGAAGTAAAAGATTTAACTTGTAATGCTTTCTTGCCGTACGGGGCCTCTTGCACATTTTGCACTACACCCAAGTTATGGAGATGTAGCAGTCCTTGCCAAGACGACGCAGTCGGACCCTGCAGCGCGCCACATGCAACGGGTGGCGTCCTAACATTTAAACGATTTCTTATATGATCCATATTCATGAGAATGGCAGGGTTTATTAATGCTGGCTGCCAACCTAACGCAAACCCTCCTCCTTTACACTGGCTTGGGACAATCAACGATAAACTCTAGAGAACTAACGAACCCTAGAGTTTACCACAGGCGGAGTTAAATTTGAAAATAATTATATTAGGAAAAAATTAATAATTTTAAAAATATATTAAATCAATAAAAACGTCAAAAACTTAAATTTTAAAACTAAAATTGAAAAAAAAAAAATGAACTTTTTTTGCACAAATTTTATATTACTTTTAATTTAATAGGCTTGGGATAAAGTAAAAATACTATGTTTATTCCAATCACTAATATAAAAAATAATTTATTTTAAATTTAAGATTATCTTCAAATCTAATTTCTTATTTTAAATATTTTTTAAAATATATGAAATCTTAGGACACAAGATTTACATAGTAGATTACTCAAAAAAAAAAACATTATCTTCAGTTTCTTATTTCTTTTTACTTGTCATAAGGACGAATCGGAAAAAAAAATATTTAGTATATATTATTGATGTATCAAAGTGCTATTATCCAATGGTAAACACTTTTAGAGATTAGTTTTTGAAAAGAACATGGTTAAGAAGATGATTATCTTTTAGAGATCTATTATGTAAATCTAGTTCCCTAAAATTTATAAGTTAAAGAATATCCAAAATAAAAATTGGATTTGAGGATAATCTTTTTTTTGGGGGTAAAATGTAAATATATTGATCATATTAAAGAAAGAAGATATTTGCAACCAGAAAAGTCCGTAGTCTGCCTTCTTTAATTTCCTACGCTAGCTATCTCTATACATGAAATAAATTAGCCAAAATTCTTGCTTGACTATCTGAGATTTTCTTCCCAAGACAGTGACTAACCCTCCATTGCACCTCCATTTTGATACAATTGACAACCATCTATGTTCCTCTGGGTTTAGCAGTGGAGATTCTATGGTTGCGTTCTTCCCATATGTGGTAGATCAATGCAGCAATTGTAGCGAACATAATCTTCCTTTTCAACTTTGAATTCCTCAATGTCAACATTATCCTAGTTCTTCATAGTCTTTGTGTACTTGACAGTCCATGTATCCCCAGCCAATCTATTATTTCACCCAGTAGTGCAGTGGAATAATGGCCTTCAAAAAACAGGTGTTCAAAAGTTTCCAAAGTATTCTGATAGAAAATAGAATCCTGGTCACCTCTGAGGACTTGCGTCATCATCAAGCTATCCTTCGTTAACAATCTATTCTTCCAAAACATCCAAACAATGAAAGAATGCTTTGGTACATTGTAATTTGACCAAATGAATAAAGTAGTTGTTAACTTTTCATTCTCACCAATTATCCAGTTATAACCAGATGAAACAATGTACGTACATTGAAGAATGTTTCCATTTCGAGCCTGTGAACTCATTCTTGACCTTTTCCTTGATTAAGCTTTTTCCTATGCCAACTCACATCCTGTTTAGCCTGGACATGCCATACATCC